TTTTATAAAATAAAAGGTATATATACCACTGATTTACTAGACTTACTAATTACTCTTGAAAAATGTCGAAGGAGTAACATGGATCCACAAACATTTATCGAGAAACACGATGGAAAATGAAGGTTATCGAAACTACAACAAACAAAAAGCCTACTTTTATTTAACTTCAACTCAAAGGTGACGTTACAGAGACATTTAACAGAAAATTGGGATCAACAATAAAGAGTGTGTATGCTGGACCCAAATGCCATATCTCGCACAATAAAACATATTATTTAGTGAATCCCAAAACTGATATTTACTCCTTTCATGTTAATGCTAACTGCACACATACGTACACACATATTTGCCAAATCTTATGATCCATTCCAAAAATATATCTAGAAAACCTCATAGATAAAAAAATTAAAAGCTTTCAGTAGTACTATTTTAACAAAACTCTTTGGTACGAAACACAAGGTGGATATAGTGTTATCTTTCAAGCTGACTCGTCTATAATAGAACTCTACTCTTGTTAACCTTACAAAACTATGGCAATTAAACGTCTCGAACACGATTTATGTAATATAAAAGGAAAAATGGTAACTCCTACCTTATCATGATAAGTTTACTCTCAGCTTATTGTATCATTCTTACTACTTTTCCTCCAAATTTGATTGTATCATGTTTAATTACGTTAAATTCATAATCTTACTCTTAACTGATTGATTCCAAATTATGTCATTCTTAATTACCACCAACTTGTGTTTATCCACTTCATTACACAACCAATTAATTTTCTATCTAGTTACTATTTTTGATGATCCAGAATATGTTCTGAAATGTAAAATTGGTTGACAACGTATTACATTTACTCCAATCACCACTTTGCCATGACAATGAACATTCACCTATAATCAATCTCAATGTCATAAGTGTATTAACTTTTAATTTTATAGGTGGTTTATAAGAACCCAACTAAATAAGGTAAATTCATAGTGTTCTATTCGATTCTTTTTCCTTGCTGTCCTCAAAATAACTAAGGAAATTATATTTACGAAATAACATCTCATTCATGTTACTTTTTTCAGAATATACAATGTACATTAAGTAGATTTGGACGTTTGCATCAAGATATAATTTTTATATTTAGCGCAATATTTTGTCTATTCAAAACTCATAACCCAGTTTTACAGGATGATTTCACAAAACTTATGGAATGATGGTCACAATTTGATCTGTTATTAGTGTTTGTGAAAACCTTGAATAAATCTATAATATTCTCAGTTGTTTTTTTTTAAACTAAAGGCCTTGGGTTCGAATCCCGCAAGCGGGATTGTGGATGCGCACTGCTGAGTCCCAAAATAGGACGAAACGACCATCCAGTACTTCCAGGTTTCCGATGGTAGTCTAACATCTATTGATTCATGATCTCAATCAAAAACCTAACAATCTCCACGACCCCTGAACTGATAACTAAATAATTGCTTGAATGTAAACACTACTATCTTTTATACCGAATTAAGTTCAAACAATGTATTTTATTTCTGAAACTTCTTAGTAAACAGAAAAAAGGTCTTATATAATTAGTTTATATAGCAATAAACGAAGAAGTTACCGTGACCTATTTCATAGATTGTAAAATTAGCTAAATGATAAAATAATTTGTTTTTAAGTAGTAAATGAGTTTACATTGTTTTAGTTCAATCATACAGATTATCGGGATAACTTTGTTTTATATCAAAGAGACGAATAAAATTTGAATGCATCATATCTACGGAATAAATAGCTTATTTAACCTGTTTTATTAAAGCAATACGCAAAACATTGACCGTAATGTGTTATGATTAAGAATTATCCTATTGTTCACTACATTATAATAAGCTACAACTGAATATATGTAATATCACTGATTCCTCTAAGAATTATATTCTTGTAAAGAAATACACACACAAATTAGTAGATATCTAGGTGTTGATTAACTATTTAACATCATAGTGTATAGTTATTTCTAATGAAATTTGTCCATGAGATCAATTTAACTTCTAATATAGTTTTTCAATTTCCCAGTGAAATTATAGTGTAGACTTTATACCATCATATACAATGTATAAAATAACAGATTATGGTTTGATTATTTACACATTTGTAATCAATGGAAATATCTATTAAATCTTTAGAAGAAAAAAAATGAAATCCAAGTTACAAGTAAATCGTAGATACCAACTAGTTTTCGCGATGACTTGGTATTTTGTTAAATAAATCTAAGAATTCATTCCTTAGTCATAGTTAAATTCTTTTTTATTGGATTCAATTGACAAATCTGAGAATACAACAGTATTTTTCTGGTGAAACTGACGATGTATGTTTATTCATTGGCATACACTAATGTTGCTCAAGAGATTAACTGAATAGTATTCTGAAATGTTACCATTATTATTTATATCCCCTATCCATTTCTTACTGCTACATCAAGGATATAAAATAGTTCTATCTGAACTAAAATGTCAAGCCTTCACACAACCTTGAAAAACAGTACGAAAATATATGAGATGTATTTCGCTTTATTGAAATGTGAACTTTTTCCATCGAAATGGTCTATAATAGTGCTTCGTCTGAAAATAAGTGATGAAATAGTTGGTCAGAGTGGGAGTTTTATTTCTTGTCTGAGTTTTCATGGACGTGGTAAATGATTAGGTTTTAACACTTATATTGATAGACAGGTTAGTTCATTCCTATTTAAATTCCCTAGCTCAAATACAGTACTTAACACTCCGGTTTATATTACCTTATGACTACAGAAAAACCACATGACTAATGTGAAGTTTTTAAGTATGTCACTAGATAACGAAAATGATCCAGTGAACTTTTATTGGTTGAGGTGGTCAAAAGAACGGTTTTCATCAAACCCTTTTTCACATGGCAATAAAATAATAATCAGCCATACTTTACCAGACAAATCAAGTAAAACATATATGCAGGAGAAAAATATTCAAGTGTTAGTCAGTTTAATCTGAGCAAATCACGTAAAATACATAAACATCTTCATCCCAATGATATAATTTAATTACATCACATATATATATGATGTAATTAGGCAGTAAATTTACCTCCATGATCATTTGGTCAAAGGTCAAAGTAATGAAACCACTAACGGAAGGTGAGATAAATGATATGGTTTTAGAATCCATTAAGGTTAGAAATGTATCCCATTTAATCCTAACCCAGTGGGTTCGATTGTATTCAATTTGAAACTTGAAGAATATGTTTGATTATCGGTCAAAAATAATAATATACCAGGACGTAGCAGCTGTCCAGTACTCTCTAATTTTCAATGGTACCCCAACTAAAATCAGCCGGTGACGAATACCTTTTAGAGTTTAGCTATATCCAACTATTACCAAAGCTGAATAAAAAAATGATAATAAATATATTTCATTAAAATCAGTAGTGTTAAATCATCACTCTATCAAAAAGACTGCTTATTTAAGGTTAATTTTTTCATGGGCGTGGTATATAAGAGTATAGCTTAAATGTTTTAGTTGCAACCTAAGTGAGTATTTAAATGATTGTATTAACCTTGATAATTATTCTGCAGTTTGTGTGAAATATCGTTCATTTATAGAGAGAAAATTTTATTTTGCAAATCGATGTTATACTTTTTAAGGTTAAAATATCTTCACAGTTTATTCATTTTAAGTTACATTCAACTGACTATATGGCTAATGAATGCTATTTTTTGTTTACTTACTAGTTTAAACACTTCTAATTTGAAAAAAAGAGACACTTCACAAGAATTGAATAAAAAGTATCAAGTTATTCTTTGTATTATTAGTTGACATAAAACCACACATTTTCAATATTTCAAGGATGTTCATTCATTCTAATTTACCAAATTATACTGAAACCATTTGCGGCTTATCTGTTTGAATTATGAGTCATTTATGACTGTTACATTTTATATACACGAATACTCTCTTATTCCTATAAAGTTCCTTTTTAAATATATATATATATATATATATATATATATATATATATATATATATATATATATATATATATATTGCTCAATTAGAGGGGTGGATACTAAAGTATCTTACATAGGTAAGTTATTTTTTTAAAAGTCATAGTTGTTTTCATTTTTCATGTTTATTCGTGATATAACTCGCTGAATATATATATATTTAAATCTCAAAATCAGAAAAAAATATTTCCAGACCGTGATATTAGAAGTTTGCGGTGGTCATCGGAAAAGGGTGAAGAAACAGATACTTCAAGATTTGTGGACCCATAATGTTCATTTTTCTTGAACGTTGTATATATACAGTTCCTAAAAACGACTTACGCAAGTGAGAATTATCAGTATTCTGTAACTTGGTTTCATACAGCTTATCATACTTAATGTAATTAGGGATAATACCTACTTCAGGTAAACTTTGATCAGACCAAAGGTATCTGTTGTATGAAATAACGAAAACTAGTAGATAATATAGATCTATTGCCTATGAATCCTATTAAACTCAATGTTTATTCTATTTTATTAAGAATCTATTTTCTAATAAGTGAAATTATGCTACTTCATATTCGTAATGACAAGCATTTCATGTACTACCGTTTGTTTATACTCTTTGAAACTTCATTATTTACCAACTCATTAACTTTAATCTACGTGATACGTTATTTATCATTATTTTAGTACCTTACATAAAGATTATGTCATTTAGAACAACATATATGAGCGAACAATATTGTTTTCGATTATATATATATATATTGTTCTAAATTACAATATGGGAATTTTTCAAACATAACATGTGTCAATTGTTTTAATTACAGGACGAAAACTTTCATAAACGTCTGTATTGGATTAAAATGTTTAACCATAATTTTCCGATATTCTGATTGGATAGATTTATAACCAATCAGATTGTAAAACAGATTAAATTATTTTGTCCAATCAAAATGGAGGCAATGAAATAAACATGATTCATTGTGTTTGTTAAGTTACAGAAATGATCATTTTAACGAATGTCATTCAACATTTCATTGAATGATATATTCTAACAAAATATGTATCATCTGCATACTTTTATTTATATAATTTCAAAGGAATATTTATATATAAGATCAAAGTACACAAAAATCTAAGCTTCAAGTGGGTCCATAAGAATAATATCTGTTATTCATATGTTCTATTGAAAAAATTAAACAACATCAATTATGCCAATAATATAAAATATAATATTTGTACAAAAAATATTGTCAAATTTTTAATCCATACTCATGTGAATGGATATAAATACTCATTTTGTAAATAGGAACAAAACAAAATAAATATAGACCAAATAAATCCAAGATAGTTCTTAAACTATAAAGCGAAAAAAAACATGGAATTTATTTATTACAAACAATATTTTATGCTTCTTACATTATTTATTGGATTCCTATATGATACAGGTAAGCAATTTTGTCTTTTTTTGTTGTTTTTAAATGTTCTATTTTTGTCAATATGTATTTGATTATCTTATTTATTGTTTTGTTGTTGGTGTTGTTACTAATTGACTTGTTTCGTTAAAACTTCTCATATTCATGTGTTTATGTACAATTTAACGTTAGAGTAGTATGATTGTGAATATTTTAATTGACAATAATTGATTATTAATTTTAATCCGATACCACAAACATTTAGTTACAGAAATAACTTCAACTTGTTAAATTCAATAAATCAAGTGTTAGTTACTCTAAATAAAAAGTATTTAGTTATAGTTACGCTAATATGATACCGATTAATAGTGAAGATTATGACGAATTTCATCGTTATTCAGGTGTATCTGTATTGAAGTTGTAAGATTTACTAATCCATACATGAATTCATCATTTCAAGCACCAAAACGTTGTGCATTAGCTTAATGTTTATAATTGTTAAATCGTGATAGATAAATATCAACTACCGGTAGTGTATGTTACTTCGCATATTTATTTACCAAACTGAAATGTTCGGTTTTTGAAAATACATTATCTTCTTCAAAATAATCATATTTTTAAAATTATAATCTTTTACTAGAGACTAATGATACAATATAGAACTACTGAATTTAAAATAACCTCAGAGAATGAAACTTAAATTATTCAGACATTTCTCCTGGTAGACCAGATTGAATTTCTTCAGGAAAATTAGATTGCCGAGATCATTTTCAGACATAATTTTTACATTTTAATACCATCTATATATTTGACATTCAGTTCCCGTCTAACCGTTTGCTCAAATTTCTGAAATCGTTCACATAAACTCTTATCAATCCTCAAATGTAACACAGAATATAAGTTCGAAATTTTAGATTATGATTATATCTTTAAGTAACTGTTAACAGAAAAACATTCACTTATATTAACAATCTGTATACTATTGAGTATTATTCGACAAAACTCTAGTAAGTATTTAGTATCAAAACATTAAAATCAAACATTTTATAAATTATTATCATAGATGATATTAATTTACTAATGACATGTTAATGCCTAAACAATTCTATTCACACTACATGTTTAAACTTTCTAATAGGATTCAGTCGTATTTTAGTATTTCCAATTAGTGCCGCTTCATCGTATACTCCTCTGTTTGGTTGTACAAAATCTGAAGTGACGTCTTTTCCTACCTTTAATATCTTCATCTAAAATGATATGTAATTATGAGATGGTGAAGATTTGTAGCTCAAGTGGGTGATTTTGATGGAGTTTTGTTCTTTGAGCTGGATGGTTTGGTCATGGAGTTGATGATGTCATTCAGAAGAACGATGAAAGCTGTACGAACAAACCATCCAGCTCAGAGAACGAAACTCCATCATAAGATAAGTAATAATAATAATAATAATATCATATTTATAATTAAAATGATCTAAACAATGGTTTAAAAAATGTTGTCAATAAAACTATTTAAACTGTCGAAATCATGATGTAACATATTTGCCTGAGTTCTTTTCTTTGTTTAGTATTCATGAAAAGAAAAATCTTTTAGAATTTTAAGCAAAACATAATATTCATACATGTATAATTTACTAGAAAATATGACATTTATATCATCATTGATTTTATGAGTCAAATATTAAACATTCCAGAATAACTTGTAGTTAACTGTTAATTCACGTAATACACTTTTTAATCGTCAGAGGTTAACAAAACTCTATCATAATCATCCATCTGAGCTACAAATCTTCTCCATCATCTCGTCAACAATACTGTTTAAACGCATAGATTATTATTATTCGATTGAGATCATAAATCAATCAGTGATAAACTACCATCCAATGACATTAGTATCTACTAAGTCGCTCCAGACATGTCTGGATACCACTAGAACCTCAAGAAGTTATATCGAAGCAAATCACTGGTGATCACGATTACAGTATTTTTGAACGGCCTCCGTGGAGATTAGTTTAATGCGATGGTAGATTATTTGGGTAAATTACTCCATCATTCTCAGTGTAGTATTTCATTTTATATTAGGATGCCTATACGAACTACATCTATGCCTGTTTTTGTTGGCAAATTTGTGTTGCCAATTAACTTAATATATGCTGAATTTCCACAAAGTTTGTGTTACAATGCCTAAAGCATCTCATTTGTTGTTTGTACTCAGTTGCGAATAACACTCAGAGGACTCGAAAAATTTGTTCATATTAAGTAGTATAAATATGTATTATATTTTTAAATAAGTAGTTCATCCATCAGAATAATACATACACCAAATTTCGAACTAGACAATAAACTTATGATAAATCCTTTTTACACTTTTATCCAATATACAGCATTGTTCACGATGATTCACATATCTTCAAATACTATTTCTTAGGAAATATTTATTGTTTACTTATTTCACTTTTAAAATAAACAAAGCACTATTTTTCTACATAGTGCTAAGTGTCAAATAAATTTATTGAATAAAGTTGACAAGATTAAACTATACACATGAATTTCAGTTTCAAAATCTGGTGAGACTATAATTTGGCGCGAAATTCACTCACTCATTAGGTTAAATATCATTTTTGGAATTATAGCTGATGTTAGTTCGTGATAAAAAATATCAAATCTAATTCCTAGTTTTAACGTTCATCTATAAATCCTAATCCTAATTCCTCACACTAATCTATAACCCTCATCTAACCCTAGTAAGTAGGTGGACATTGTCAAGGTCACTTTGCGTCGCTCAAAGGTCGTCCACAAATTATAGTTTCACCCCGAATCCCTCTTGATCTATATCAAAATAAGCTTCATGTTGATATGTACTAACGAAAAGCAAATATAATAAAGCGGAATTGATACTATGTAATGAATCGAAGTGATCATATTAAATCAGCGGACAAATGTAAAAAATGTCATTAAACAATAGAACTTTTATTAGCTGAGATCATGAGTCAATTGAAAATAGACCACAATGAAAAACCTGGAAGCACTGGACGGCTGTTTCTTCCTATCATGGGACTCCTCAGCAGTACGCATCCACGATGCCACCTCACGAGATTCGGACCTAGGACCTATCGACCTCACGTGGTAACACATAACCTTTAGACTACTGAGCTAGCATCCAACGGACGAAATGGTCATCCAGTGCTTTCAGGAATTCAGTCGTGGTTTCACATTGACCGATTTGTAACATTAGTGGAACTCAATAATCTCCATAACTTTATACTGTTATTTGAACTCCACTAGTCATGATCACTTTCTAAAACATAGAAATTTATCTTAAAAAGTCGCCTGTAAAAACACGTTAATTTTTTGATAAAGAAAATTGTGGATATTATTACTTTACATCATTTATCATTATTTTCATGAACTATTCAATATAAAAAAATGGTTAAAATACAATTGTTTACTACCCATACCATTTTAATGATATTGTTTATTCAATTTAAAAACATTATTATGATCTTTCTAGTTAGTTACATTGATATTCTCTTACTGGTCTGTATAAATTATCTTCTCATAATGAATATATATATGTATATATTTATAGTAGTTACCATATCAATACCCATTTTTAAATGAAAGATTACAATGACTGAATTGAAAAGTTAACCAAGTCATACATACGCACACACACACACACAATCACATACACCATTCCTATTTATTGTTGAGAATATTCAGGTTAATAATTCATATTATTAGTGGTTAAATTTTACAAAGAAAACAACTGTAATTCTAAGCTAAAAACAAACAAACAACTATACACATTAATCATTAAATATTAGTTTTTCCTTCTGTTTTGACTATTGAAATAAATGAGTAGTGTATTCATAGGAAGAAAATAAACATGAAGAAGAGAATAGAAATTTCTAGTAGATTATTTGAATTGAAATTAATAGTAGCTTATGTAGCCTTATTTTTTTCCTTGAAAACTGCACGTACGTATACATAAATATATAATGATGAGTTATGGATATGTAAATATCCATAGGCGTTCACAAGTTTATTAAATGTTTCAATGTAAACTTACATATATGTGGGGGGGGGGAATAAATGTATGTTTCTATTTAAAATATACCGCTCACTACTTGGTTTGTTATTTCTTATTAAAATGACTAATTTAAACAATAAGTCATTTAAATTGGTTAATATTTATGTATAGCCAATTTGTGGTAATGAATCTTATCGTTCATAACTTATAAATTTCAACAACATTTATTCATAATCAAGTTTATAATTAAATTAAAAAACATTTTAAAACTTTATTTTTTCAATAGTGTCCCATGAGTCAGGTGGAATTGTGGATGTGCACTGATAAGGAGTCCCATAATAGGACGAAACGACCGTCCACTTCTTCCAAGCTTTCCATAGTGGTCTAACTTCAATTGACTCATGATATAAATTATTAAAAATTACTATCATATCCATAAAACCCCTTCTCATATAGATTTGGTTAAAAAACAATGTCTAATTTTGAATGGGAATCAACCATTTGAAAAATGTAACAAGTAAACTTGATATTTTTAAATCTTATTAAATAACTGAAAGAACCAACCAGACATCAAGTCGTTTATTGTAATCTTAACGCAAAATAAATTATTCACAGATTTTCAATTAAATAAATGATTCTCTTATCTTTTATTTGTTACAATCATCAATAGTTCATTGCAGGAAATCTTAAACTGGTTCTTTTGTTCCTAATTATCTGGTTGTTTAAAAATATATATATATACGCATTTTGTTTTAAGGATATCACTTGAGGTTTGAGGAAATGTAACTAACGTGATAATCGATAATCCATTGAAAAGTTTTTTTTCTAAGATTTAAATCCAAAGTACAAGGTATCATACCACCTGTTCGAAATAATTTTGGTGATAAAATCTTAATATCAGAAGGGTTTGTAGTAGCTGGCCCCATATCGATCCCATATAACTTATTCTAGTTCCTGAACAAACTAATTCATTCTTTTTGAGTCATATTTTGACCTTGTTCAT